GGGGGGGGAAGCCCCCCTCCTGCCCTTGGGGACGGGGAGGGGGGCGGCTGCTCCGCCCCGAGTGGGGTTTTTGCACCAGTCTCGCGGTTGGCGGGTGATTTTTTTGGCGGGGGTTTGCGAATGGAGCCGTGACCCACCCCCAGCTGCCACAGCGGGTCCCGAGAGGGGGGGGGGGTTAGCTCCCGGTCCCGGTTCCACGCGGGGTTTTGCTCCCGGAGGGGTTTGTTCCCGCCCTAAAGCTCCTTGTCTCTTTCTTTCCTCTCCTTGGAGTTGGGGGGGGGAGAGGGGAAAGGGCCATCTGGCGGTCTGGTTTTGGTAAATTTGGCCGAAACCACGACAGGGTCCCACGCGGGGTTTTGGTGCCCCCTCCCGCAGCCACGTCTGGCCCCCAGAGGGGGTTTGTTCCTGGTCCCGGTCCCGCGTAGCCATATTTGGCCCCCGGAGGGGTTTGTTCCTGGTCCACGCGGGGTTTGCCCCCCCGAGAGGGTTTTCCCCTCGGTCCCGGTCCCGTGTGGGGTTTCACAGCCCGGCCTGGCCCCCGAGGGGGTCTGCTCCCGGTCCCGGTCCCATACAGCGTTTGCAGCCCAGCGGTCCTGCCCCGGGGGGGTGTGTGCCTCCGGTCCCCGTCCCGGTCCCACGTGTGGTTTTGTAGCCCAACCCACAGCCAGGCTGGCCACCCGGAGGGGTTTACGCCCGGCCCGGCTCCCACGCAGGGGTTTGCCCCCCGACTTGCACCCATGTCCACCCCCAGAGGGGTTTGCCCCCGTCCCGCGTGGGGGTTTGCACCCGGTGCTGGTCCCGGTCTCACGTGGGGCTGGCGCCCGGGTCCCGCCCCACCGGGGCTCTGCGCCCGCTCCCAGCCCCACACCCACGGGGGTTTGCACCCTGACCCGCACCCGGGCTGGCCCTGCTGCCACCAGCACGCCCGGACCCCCGGGGGTTGTGCCCCGACCTGCGCTTGAGCGGGGCTTGTACCCTGAGCCGCGCCAGCCCCGGGGGCAGGGGGCACCCAGCCCTGATGGGCAGCACCCCGTGGTCCCCAGGGGACATCTCCTGGTCCCGCAGAGCCGTGGGGCCGGTGCCAGTGGGGCCGGGCGCGGGCCCCTCACACCCCACTCCGCTCCCCAGATGCCGACAAGCGGATCAAGGTGGCCAACCCGGTGGTGGAGATGGATGGAGACGAGATGACACGGATCATCTGGGCCTTCATCAAGGAGAAGGTAAGGGGGTCCTGCCAGGGGCACGGGGGGTGTCGCGCACACGGAGCTGGCGGGTGCCATGCCGGGAACAGGTGGCTGTTGTGCAGGGGACAGTCCCTGCGCGCTGTCTGCCCTCTTTGTCCGCCCTCTGTCTGTCCGTCCCCCCGTCCCCAGGAAGCAGGTGGTGGGATCAGCGCAGCTTCCGGCGGGACCGGGAAGGGAGGAGGTCCCGGGGAGGGGGGACCATCCTGGGGAGCTGGGGCCGGGCTGGGGGCCAGTGCTGGCTGTGCCGGGGTGTACGGTGCTGCTCCCCAGACACCTTGTGCCACCCCCCCCCAACACTTTCCTGCCCCCCCCTAGCTCATCCTGCCCAACGTGGACGTCCAGCTGAAGTATTTTGACCTGGGGCTGCCCCACCGGGACAAGACGGATGACCAGGTCACCATCGACTCGGCGCTGGCCACCCAGAAGTACAGTGTGGCCGTGAAGTGTGCCACCATCACGCCGGACGAAGCCAGGGTGGAAGGTGGGCAGGGGGCGAGGGTGCTGGTGCCGGCAGCCCCCTGGGGTGCTGAGCCCCCCGTGTGTCCCCTCTGGGCCAGCAGTGCCTCCCCCCACTGGCCTGTGTTTGTGGAGGGTCGGGGGCTGCACTGCTGCCTGGACTTTGGCCCCCTGGCCCTGGGGTGTTTGGGGGTGCTGTGGGGACCCCGTGGGCGTGGGGCTGGGGACAGACTGCCCTCTGGCCAGTGCCAGTCACGAGCCCGTGCCGGCTGTCCCTCTCCTTGGCTGGCTCGGTGGCAGGGCTCTGGCAGCAGCCCACGGCACGGAGGAGCTGGGGGGGGGAAGGTGGTCAGGTGATGGTCTGAGGTGACTGCTGGGGCTGTGCCAGGCCGGGGGGGGGTCACTCGGGGGCCTCACCTCTGCCCGTCCCAGAGTTCAAGCTGAAGAAGATGTGGAAGAGCCCCAATGGCACCATCCGGAACATCCTGGGGGGGACGGTGTTCCGGGAGCCCATCATCTGCAAGAACATCCCCCGCCTGGTGCCCGGCTGGACCAAGCCCATCACCATCGGCAGACATGCCCACGGTGACCAGGTGAGCCCTGTGCGGTGGCTCCCTGTGGCATGGGGGGGGGTCTGGCACCTCCTGCCCAACCCTGCCCGACCCTCTGCCCTGCCCCTTGCAGTACAAAGCCACCGACTTCGTGGTGGGCAAGTCCGGGACCTTCAAGATGGTCTTCACACCGAAGGACGGCAGCGGGGCGAAGGAGTGGGAGGTCTTCAACTTCCCCGGCGGCGGCGTGGGCATGGGCATGTACAACACAGACGAGGTATCGGGGTGGCTGGGGGGCAGCAGGATGGGTCCATCTGTGGTGGAACTGGCGGGGCAGGGGTCCCACGGGGGTCCATGCACTTCTCTTGCAGTCCATCTCGGGCTTCGCTCACAGCTGCTTCCAGTACGCCATCCAGAAGAAGTGGCCTCTCTACATGAGCACCAAGAACACCATCCTCAAGGCCTATGACGGGCGCTTCAAAGACATCTTCCAGGAGATCTTCGATAAGTACGGACTTGAAGGAGCTGGGGCAGCTGGGGGAGAGAGCTGCCCCGGGTTGGGGGGCTGGCTGCCCCTCCTCGGGGAGGCCATTGCCCTGGCACAGCAGGGCACAGCTGATGCCTGCCCTGGGCTCCCAGGCACTACAAGACGGAGTTTGACAAACTGAAGATCTGGTACGAGCACCGGCTCATCGACGACATGGTCGCCCAGGTGCTCAAGTCCTCCGGCGGCTTCGTCTGGGCCTGCAAGAACTACGATGGGGACGTCCAGTCGGACATCCTGGCCCAAGGTGGGCTGGTGTGGGGTGGTGTGGGGCGGGCTGTGTGCGGTCACCCTCCCTGGGCCACCCTGACCCCCATCCCACCACAGGTTTTGGCTCTTTGGGGCTGATGACCTCCGTGCTGGTGTGTCCGGACGGGAAGACCATCGAGGCAGAGGCAGCCCACGGCACCGTCACCCGCCACTACCGGGAGCACCAGAAGGTGGGTGGGTGCTGGCTGCAGGGCGCTGGCCGCACTGGGTGGCCCGTGGCCAGCAGCTGAGCCCTCCTTCTGCACAGGGGCGACCCACCAGCACCAACCCCATCGCCAGCATCTTCGCCTGGACGCGTGGCCTGGAGCACCGGGGCAAGCTGGACGGTAACCAGGACCTCATCAAGTGAGCGGGGAGGGGTAGGAGCATCCGCGTGGCCCCCGCTGCGGTGGGGTCCATGGTGCGGGGGTGCCGGCTTTGCTGGAGCCGTGTGCGGTGCCACCGTCCCCCAGGTTCTCTCAGACACTGGAGAAGGTCTGCGTGGAAACGGTGGAGAGCGGGACGATGACGAAGGACCTGGCCGGCTGCATCCACGGCCTGGCCAAGTACGTGTGGCTCGTGGGGCGGAGGGGTGTGGGGTGGCTGCTGGCCACGAAGGCAGCCTGGCTCTGCGGGGTGGCCATGGGCGGCCACACGGTCCCCAGAGACTCGGGGTGGCTATTTATGGCTTGCAGTGGCCACCTCCCATGCCCAGGCAGGGGTCACCTCCCGTGCCCAGGGCCGCGCTGTTGGCCTGGGCTCTGCCTGCAGGGGGGATCAGGCAGGGACCCCCCCCACAGCCCGTGGGACCCCCACAGCCCCTCTCTCTACCCTCCGCAGTGTGAAGCTGAACGAGCACTTTGTGAACACCACCGACTTCCTGGACGCCATCAAGAACAACCTGGACAAAGCCCTGGGCAAAAAGTAGGGGGCACAGGAACTGGGGGGGCCGCCCGGCCCCGCTGTCACCCCGACGGACGGGGACCCAGCGGCGCCCCCAGCTCGGCTCAGGAACAGTTGAATAATTTTTATAAGCAGTTTTCTTACGAGTGTTTTCAAAGCCTTTCTAACAGGGTTGTGTAGGACTTTGGGGAGGATTGGGGGGGTCCTGTCCCACGCTGACCCATGTACCCCCACCCCGCGGTGCCAGCAGCCATTAAACACCTCACCGGCCCCCGGCGCGTGGTGGTGGCAGGGCTCTCGCGGCGGGGGCAGGGGCCCGCAGCTAACGAACACGCGTTTATTAGAGTTCTTGCTGAACAACTCCACAGTCCCAGGGGATAAAAAAATAACCAAAACCCAGTAGGGCTTTGCACAAAGGGGAGGGGGGGGACACACTAAATGCTCTGCATGAACAAGGTGGGGGGACACCAAGGAGCCACACAGCCACTGGAATGAGCCCCCCATCTCATCCTATGGGGCAGAGCCCAGTGCTGCAGCTGCCCCCCCACAGCAGCAGTGAAGACCCCCTTGGCCTGGCCCGGCACAGCACGGGGTGGGGGAGACACAAGCATCACAGCTTTTTGGTAAGGGGGCTGAGGTAGCCTGTGGGGGGGGCTGCACTGGCTAGGAGCACACAGGGGGCTGTGGGGAGGGGGTCCTGGCTGGCCACCGCTGGCCATCTCAGCCCTGCCCCAAGGCTGGAGGAAGCTACTGCCGCGGTGGGGGGAGGAGGTGATGGCAAGGATGGGGGGCCTGGAGGTCTGAGTGGTGCCACCCTCACCCATTGCCAGCCTGGGGCTTCTGGGGACGGGGCGAGACAGTGCCCTGCCCTGGGGAGCACGGTGTGACACTCCTGTGCCTTGCTCAGCCACCTGCAGTGTGTGGGGCAGGGCAATTTGGGGGTCCCAGACCCCATGCCAGCACCGTGGCTCCTGCTGCAGCCCCCCAGGAGGTACCAGTGCTCAGTGCAGGACACACCTGGGGGGCAACGCTCTCTTGTGCAGGGAAGGGGGAAAGCCAGGAGGGTGCTCCCAGCCCCTCTCCCCTCCTGCCCCAGCCCCTGAGAGCGCAGGAGGCAAACCTGCTGCCCCATGGAAAACCTCTCCCTGAGCCCCACAGCAGCTCAGAGGGGTGAGGAGGGGGGTGCCAGCAGCACATTTGGCTGCCCCACAGGGGACTGGACTCCCCCTCTGGTCCTCAGTACCCCCCCTCCACTCCCCCTCTGGTCCTCAGTCCCCCCCCTCCCCCCGAGCACGATGGCAGCCCCCACCGCCCCCCGCGCACAGACCACACACGTTACACGGGTTTACAAAGCACATTGGTTGAAGGAAACAACTCAGTGAAAAGATAAATCCAACCACGCGGCACGTCTGAAAAAAATAAATTACTTTCAAAATACCATCATTTGCTCAAGTCGAACAGGGCTTGCCTTCCTTTAAATACGCACCCGGAGCCGCTGCTTCCTCCGAGCTTTGCCATGAGTTTGTAAGAAAATATTCTGATTTGTATGTGCCCCGTGGCCTCGCGCAGGTTGCCACAGCCTTGCCCGTGCCAGCCTGCAGCCGGTGCCAGGGCAGGAGGGACCACTCTCGCCCGCTGGGGAGATGGGGAAGAGCGAGAAACACAAGCCCTCCCCCTCCCGCGGGCAGAGGGGCTTCTGCCCCACGGGGCGCTTGGGGGGGAGCAGGGGGCCGGCCGGGCTGCAGCCCCAGCACAGCCACAGGGGAGGACCCAGGAGGTAGAATAATTAGTAATGCTCGTCATCCTCTGGGACGTGCCTTCCCCCACCCGCAGCTTCAAGTACGGTGGGCGCCGGCGTGCAGGCGGGGGGGGGGCAGAGGCAGGGTCCCAGCCAGCCCCCGTGCAGTGGGGCGGCAGGAGCAGAGCCGGGGGGGTCAGTGTGGGGCAGGGGAGCTGCAGGGCTGCTGGTGATGGCCCCCAGCGATGGCCAGGGTCCGGCAGTACCCCCCGCTGGACCAGCTTGTTGTGCCCGTGGCCAGCAGTGACCACTGCCCTGGGCCACCTCCAGCCTCTGCTCCCGCCTTGGCCCCGGCAAAGGTTTTTGGACACCCCTGTTTTCTCCCACGCCAAGCTCAGCTGGAGCCCCCCCAGGAGGGGCAGTGGGGCAGGGCTGGCCAGGCACCGCAGCAGCTCCTCTTACCACCCCAAGTCCACGGGGCCCCCGGCGGCCTCCTCCAGCCTGGGCTACAACATGTTGTAGTACGCCATCTCCTTCATGGCCTGCTCGGTCAGGGCGTGCTCGTCCGGGGGGTTGCCCACGCCCCCGTAGCCGTAAGAGTTCTCCTCCTCGAAGTCGTCCATCTCCTGCTGCCCATCCAGCTCAGCATGGTCGGCCCCAGCCAGGTCCATCCGTGCAGTGGGGCGGCAGGAGCAGAGCCGGGGGGGTCAGTGTGGGGCAGGGGAGCTGCAGGGCTGCTGGTGATGGCCCCCAGCGATGGCCAGGGTCCGGCAGTACCCCCCGCTGGACCAGCTCATTGTGCCCGTGGCCAGCAGTGACCACTGCCCTGGGCCACCTCCAGCCCCCGTCCTGCCTTGGCCCCGGCAAAGGTTTTTGGACGTCCCTGTTTTCTCCCATGCCAAGCTCAGCTGGAGCCCCCCCAGGAGGGGCAGTGGGGCAGGGCTGGCCAGGCACCGCAGCAGCTCCTCTTACCACCCCAAGTCCACGGGGCCCCCGGCGGCCTCCTCCAGCCTGGGCTACAACATGTTGTAGTACGCCATCTCCTTCATGGCCTGCTCGGTCAGGGCGTGCTCGTCCGGGGGGTTGCCCACGCCCCCGTAGCCGTAAGAGTTCTCCTCCTCGAAGTCGTCCATCTCCTGCTGCCCATCCAGCTCAGCATGGTCGGCCCCAGCCAGGTCCATCATGGGATCTAGGGACACAGGGACACCCCATGAGGGACCTGCAGGACCAACAGCACCCTCCTTCCCACGCAGCTCGGGTTTGGACCCCCAAAGTCCCCCCAAGAGCTAAAGCTTTGCTTGAGCCAGACACTCGCGGGGCCTCTGGGCTCAGGGCATCCCCAGGCACGCTCCCAGCCGGGATGGTGGCCAGCAGAGCGCTGCCGGAGCAGGGGCGGCTCCTGTGTGCTCCCCCCAACCGGCGCCTGCACCACTCACAGGGGTCTGCAGCCCCCATCCCAACACGGGGGCCGGGGAGGGGAGGACAATGGTGCAGGGGACAGGCATTGTCCCAGCCCCACACTCGCACCCCCGGGGCAGCGGCTGCATCTCGACCTGAGTGGGAGTGAGTTGTCTGGGGTGGGAAATGAGAAAAGGGCAGGAAGGGTGGATCCTGCTGGGTCCCCCCCAGGACGGGGGGTGGGCATGGAGCTGCTGGGGAAATGGAGGGGACGAAGCAGCCAGAGCTCATCTCAGCTCCGTTGGTACGGAGCAGGGTGGTCCCGCTGCAAGGCTCCAGTGGAGCGTCTGCGCTGACGCTGCGCAGGGACCCCCGGGGCAGGAGCTCCCCCCGTCCCCCCGGGGGCAAGAACAGCCACAGTCACCCCCCCACCCTGCAAAACCCTCTGAGTGAAACCACAGCCACCGCGTCACCAGAGGGCACCACCCTGGCCCGGGATGTGCCAAAGCCTCAACACCTCCCCGAGGAGCTATTTATTTTAACTTGTGCTTTTATGGAGCTTATTTATCTGTATTTGTACTCAGTTTATGATGCTTAGACCCGCTCCTGCTGGGCACCTTTCCGTGGCCCCTGTGGGGGACAGGTTCTCGAGGATGGAGGGGGGCAGCAGTGTCCCCACCGGGTGCCATGGGGACAAACATGCCGGAGCTGCCACAGCACAGCCTGGCTCCTAAAGCCATCACTGAGAACCAGGGGGTCCCGGGGGGGCTGCAGCTGGGGCAGACACACCGATGGGCAGCACCAGGGACCACCCACCAGCCCACACCCACCTTGGCTGTCCAGGCTGATGTCCATCACCCCGTGCTTGACCTTCATGTGCCGGCTGAGGTTGCCCTTCAGGTTGAACTTGCTGGAGCAGTAGGGACACTTGAAGGGCTTGCTGCCCGCGTGGAGGTGCATGTGGCCCAGCAGGTTGTACATGCGGTTGAAGGACTTCCCGCAGACCTGTGGGCAGTGGTCTGGGGGTCAGCGAGGGTTCTGCCCCCCAAAGCAGCAGGTGCTGCCACAGGGACGGGGGCTTTTCAGAGCAGACCCCCCTCCTGAGGTCCCCCATCGCTCCCACCAACTTCCAAGAGTTGAAGGGTTGCTTCCCTCCTCCCTCTCTGTGGTGGGAGGTCTCAGGGATGCCGTGCTGGAATTGCTGGGAAGTCCAGCACGTCTAGCACCGGGTCAGAGAGAGACACTAATTGTCCCCCTTCGTTAGCGGTGCCCTGCTCTGGCTGTGTCAGGATGAGCTGTTTGCCTGAGCCAACAGAGGGAGGCATCACAAAACTGCTTTCCTGTGGCTGAGGACTCAGCCCAGCCGGGTTTCTCTGGGAGCACG